AGCACCACCCAGACAGGAAAAACACCGTCTTGTTATAAATGGCTAGCCTTCGCTCATTAAAAACAAAAGGCCAAAGTTTAGATAACAGTGGAACCGCAAACTGAATTGGCTTTTAGATTTTATAAGAGCCCCTGTATGGGCGATGAATCATTTTAAGGAGATGTGGTCTTAATTCCATTGATTTTACAGTTGAATGTTATATTCCAGTCGTTTTTTTTTTACCATGCAGTGCATCAGTTTTCAGTGGTGACTGAAAAAGCATAATAGTTTCCCCACCCCCACTACACTGCTCTCCCATCGCCCTGCCCCCACCTCTCTGAGCACATGCACAAACAAGCGCGCGCACGCTCCGCCGGTAGGACGACCACATTCATCTCGCAAGGCAAATATTTCACTGTTATCCACGTGCAACCAGAAATAACCCCCGCACGTTCCCAAAGGCCTAAATTATCGGTGACTATACCTGAACTGCCTGTCACTTGCACTGGGAGTCACCACGTTTTTCTTTTAAGTGCATTTAAACCTGGGAAGGCGTCAAATAAGTGCAGTTTCCCGATCCAGTTGACAACTTAAACTGAAAGGTCGCGCGCACTGGCCAGTGTTTTAAATTCACAGCAGCAATATCATCTAAGCAAAGGGGCGCTTTCATTTTCTCAGAATAATATGACTGACACAAGCATGACTTTCTGTGTCACTAACAAGCTCTATGTGACCGCGTCAGAAAATATGCGCATAAATATCTGTGAGTAACCTGGCTGAAAATAAATCAGATTACATTCAGATTCAGATGAAGTACTTTTAAGCCCCAATCACTAGTAAACACATACCACCGGGACTGCCCAACTTAAATACTACTTTGATCAGTTCACTTCCAGAAAACTTCCAGCATAAAGAGCTGAATGCCATCTGAATATCGTCGTATTTAAACTAGCCTTGGAGTAAAGTGATATCTACGCCATCCATCCATACTCAAGTAAAACTGGGTACAGCTAGATCAGTAATTCAGGTACAGTCTAAAGTCATGTAACTGGACTCTGAAACTTGCTGTACATGAGTAAACTTGCGTGAACACTTACATCACTTAACGTTTACTGACTGTTTCCATGTGGAAGCTAGTGTGGGGAAATGTATCGACATCTCACCTGAAAGTACAGTTTGGCGTACACATGCTGACAGTGCAATAAATACATACGACCGGCGCAGTGAAAATGACTCATCAACTTGTAAATGGAGGCACACGACAAAACAACGAAAATGTGACTCACCTTATTGCAATGAAATGAGTCCGATCCGAGTCCCACGCAGGACGAATCTGTTGCTGATGGTGGCTGAGGTGCGAGTGGGTAAAATCTCACGTCCATTTCACATGAAACATCAATCACCTCCGTGTTTTCTTCGCACTCCCGATTTCGGGGAACCGACTAACAAGATGGGAACAGAGAACTAGATGAGTGAGTTAAAAAAAAACAAACTAGTGTAGCGCTGCTGAGATGCAGTTCAGGAAGAGCCCTCAGTATAACATCCTTTTGCGGTTTCCTAAAAAACTTCCAGATAAAGAACTGCTCTATAGGCTTTCTCAATAGTTTCTAAATAATAAAAAATGCCCACGACGTCATTCTTTAAAGAGAAAAAGTTTGCCCGTGTGGAAGTGATCTCCTTTCGGTGAGCGCACACGCAAAGGCGGTCTCCGCTTCTGCAGCGATGCTCCATACGCTGGCAGCTCGCATAATCCACACAAAGAGCAGATAGAGGCGCACATAGAGGCGCACATGCCGCCGAGTGCGACATAGGGGGCGCTGTGCTGCACCAGCAGCATCACACGTACAAGCTCGTTCATGCTTTCCTTAATTATCAATGCATTTACGGAGTTGACTAATTGATGGGGTAACTTCATGTGCTATATTTATAATGGAATTTCAGAGGGTTATTTCAACATGCAGCGTTATTTGCCTAGAGTGAAATTGAAAGACGTGTTTGTGGATTGCTGGTGCACTCCCTCATCCACGCTTGATTTACCGTTTTGTACTGCTTCACCTCCCAGGATTTCAGACACATGTTCTGCCTCATTCTGTGCCTGACAGAAGCTTGGTGTATTTTGTAAATCTTTTCCACATTTTTTCAGTAATTTGACATTTAAACCCCACCCCTCCAAAAAAAATGTGCCTTTCGGGTTTGCCAAAAGGTGATCTTAATTCTTGTCTGCCTGACTAAAGAGCTAGCTAATTAATGAAAGTTAGGTTTTTTATTATTATTAGGCCTATTTCTGTAAACATATCTTGTGTAGATGTGTATGTGTTTAAATAGGAATATGCAGTGAAGCGCTCTGTAATTAAACATGAAAACAATTGTGACTTCCAACCGCCATAGTGAGCCCCCTAGAGGACGCACGTGTCACTGCTTATATGTACGGGTCAAGAGCCGGTGTTGGTTCCACGCCATCTGAGGTCTGAGGCTTGCTTGCCTATATTCACTGGCAGATGGCAAGCTCATCTACAGCCTCCAACATACAGAAATGGTTCCAGTGGTGCTTAACTGGTACATTAAATATTACAGCTACAGTCACCCACAATTGTGCACTGCATATACAGCATTTTCCAGAATCCAGGACCCAGGCTATGGGGACCATTTAATTTACCATTTACCAAATTCCTCGGTAAACACAGACGGTACTTATAGCGTGTAACTCTGGATGACGGTCCAGCTCCAGACGAATATGCTTGCTGCTGTTTCTGTGGTGGTAGCTGGATCATCATGAACATTATGAATAAGCCTTTCTGTACGCGTGACACTGCTGTATGCCCTCCACTGACTCAGAGCCTGAATCCAGTCTGTGTTCACCGTGAGACGCCTCCTGACGTCTCCAGTGGTACACTGCACTTCAGCCATCCGGTGACACGGCCGTGAGACGCCTCCTGATGTCTCCAGTGGTACACTGTACTTCAGCCATCCGGTGACCCGGCCGTGAGACGCCTCCCGACGCCTCCAGTGGTACACTGCACTTCAGCCATCCGGTGACACGGCCGTGAGACGCCTCCTGATGCCTCCAGTGGTACACTGTACTTCAGCCATCCGGTGACCCGACCGTGAGACGCCTCCCGACGCCTCCAGTGGTACACTGTACTTCAGCCATCCGGTGACCCGACCGTGAGACGCCTCCTGATGCCTCCAGTGGTACACTGTATTTCAGCCATCCGGTGACATGACCTCAACGTGCAGGCAGTCTAGGATGACACTCTAAGCGACACTCACCACTCATTCTGTGTTTGTTCACCTTTTCATCGCCATAAATCAGCAGAATCGCTGCACTGCCATGAACACAGCAAGACGGACTACCTGAAATATACCTGAAAGTGGCTGCGTGTGTATAGGATATTGCTTTTCAGCCAGGGGGTCCCCGAAAGTGACTGCGTGTGTGTAGGATATCGCTTTTCAGCCAGGGGGTCCCCGAAAGTGACTGCGTGTGTGTAGGATATCGCTTTTCAGCCAGGGGGTCCCCGAAAGTGACTGCGTGTGTGTAGGATATCGCTTTTCAGCCAGGGGGTCCGCAGAAATGTGTGAAAAAAGTAGGAAATTCAGTTACATTTGGAGTGTAAACCTTTCACCCTCCCCATCCAGATCAAAAAGCATTCTTATGTGATCACACATTAGTGATTAGGGGTCCCTAATTCTGGTCTGTGTTCATTTGGGGATCCCTGATTTAAATGTGGAAGATGGTAAGAGAGTAGCTACTGGTGTCTATAATATTATACATCAATACATATTTCAGTAGAGTCAGAATAAGTCAGAATATGTTACCGAATGACGAACAGTCTCTATTTACGTCTCTGTTCATTAGTCTAAAGAGTGTTTCTTCATGGCAAATCCCCATCTGTATTGTTAGCAGGCTGGCTGCAGCTTTAAGTGCTTCAAATCAAGTAAACATAAATATCTCGTCACACTGCCTGACAAACACCAGATGTAGGCACATTAAAACACTATAAAAGCACAAGAGGCAGTAAAGGTAGCCTACATTCCAGAACCTAAAATCTGGATGTTCAGGTTCAAGACTCGGTCAGCTGTTTTTCACAATTAGCAACTAAAGATAAAGTAAAGCAAAATATTCAGGCCAGTTAGGCAATCAGCCAAACTGAGGCAGCTCAGGACATCGTCTTTAAGAAACCGGGGCTGGAACTGAAAACTGCAAAAGAAACAAAAATAAAAACTAAATTCCACAGGTTTAAATCTGGGAGAGGATACAGCTGTTATTCCCTCAATCCAGATTAGTAAATCCTGATAAAATTCTCATGCAATTCATCTTTAGTTGTAAGGTTTATATATTTACAATAAATAGAAGTGCGTTGTAAGCAATTTAGTAAAAGAAGACTAAGAAAACAGTAAAAGCAACTACTAAATAGTTAATTGATTAATTGAGTAACAAATGTGTTGAGATATGCAGTAGCTCTGTCCTCAGTTGATGCAGGCATACAGAGGCTCGCCCGCAGTAATTAAGGGACCTTGTTCTGGAAATAAAAGTCCTCATTAGGAACATTTCATAACACAAAATGTTATCTGGTCCTCATTAGCACATGAAAAAGAATCTAAACGGGCTGCAATAAAAGCCAAAAGTTTGTTTAGGCTATTTCATGTGGGGGGCATCGGTGGCGGGCATCGGTGGGGGGCATCGGTGACGGGCATCGGTGGGGGGCATCGGTGACGGGCATC